TTCGGGGCTCAACCTCCTCGCTGGCACATCTCCCGATCCCTGGCTCTGATATCATTTATAACAGTCCAAACCCACCCCTAGCAAATATTGTCCTCTTTGGGCTTTCCCCTTCAGAATTCCTCTCAAGATTTTTAAAGCGTGTCTACTAGGGAGAGGTTTCCACACCCTTATTAAAGAATGTATCGTTCTCTCTTTCAACCGACGTAGGATCTCACAGGTTCACTCCACAGTAGAGTTTGATCAAGCAAATTACGACCCAAACATTGTTCTAGCAGAGCTCTTACTACCATGCCCATTAAAATGGATACCTTTAAATCCTAAAACCATCATCTATCATGCATCTAAACCATGCCCCATTCTGTACAATACATAACACCAATATCTATGCTCTTGTTTGTTGCAGAGTGTGACAGAGCTTCATGATGGCTCAGCTTTATTCATCACGGTTGCAAAGTACTTATCCCCGGCACGTCACGAGATCGATCAAGTTGGCATTGTGCCAGATATCCAATGTACAGCGGATGCTCTCAACTCACCAAGAGAAGTTATAGGTAAAGACAGGAGCTCACGCATACCCCTTGAAGCTGATTCTTGTATCATGATAGCTGAGCATGAATTGGATATCCAACAATCTAAAGGGACTGCCTCCTGAAATGATAGGAATTGTTTCACTTTTATTAGTAGAATTTGAATGTAAATATGGATGGTAACTAGAAAAGCATATATGTATATAGATGAATGATAGAAACTCGACCGTTTGATCGAGGTTCGTTGGGATTTACTTGTATTATAAATATCAGGTGTATTAGCTAGATCAATACGCTTGTCGATTCCTATATCGCTTGTCGATTCGTGGGTGTAGTCGACATGTCCTCCCTCATTATTCAAACATTGTGAGATGAATAATGTGTTTTTCACGATTCCTTTTGAAAATGTTTCATTAAAAATATTTAGCTTTAAGTTCATTGAATCTCACATCTGTTTTACAAGGGTGTAGAAAACTTTTCTCTAGGAGATAAGTTCTAAATTTTTTTAGGGAAGTCCAAAAGAGAAAACTCAAAGAAAACAATATTTAGTAGTGGTAGGCTTAGACTATTACAAATGGTATTAGAGCTAGACATTGGGCGGTGTGTCAGGGAGAACATTGAGCCTCAAAGGGAGGTGGACGCCAGACGATGTGCCAACAAAGATGTTGGGCCCCAAAGAAGGGTGGATTGTGAGATTCCATATTGATTGGAGAGAGGAGCTAGTACCAGCGAGGACGTTATGCCCCAAAGGAGGGTGAATTATGAGATCTCACATCGACTGGAGAGGGGAATGAGTGCCAGAGAGGACCCTGAGCTCCAAAGGGGGTGGATTATGAGATCTCACATTGATGGGAGAGAGGAATGAATGTGAAATCTCATATCAATTGAAAAGAGGAACGAGTACCGGTAAGGACGATGAGTCTCAAAGGAGGGTGAATTGTGAAATCTCACATCAACTAGAAAGGGGAACGAGTGACAGCGAAGACGCTAGGCCTCGAACGGAGATGGAATATGAGATTCCACATTAGTTGGAGAGGAAACAAATCACATTTTTTACAAGGGTGTGGAAATCTCTCATTAGCAAACTCGTTTTAAAAATCTTGAAGAGAAATCCAAAACAAAAAATCAAAGAGGACATTAAACCAACTGACATTAAAGAATCAACTAATGTGTCATTGTTAGGGGTGAAATGTCACTCGAGCTCATCCACATATCAATTGTGATCTAATACTCGATATGTATTTTGAACTAATCTTTCAATTTCTTATCATTCCAAAAAAAAAAAGAATATTAACTTTATTAGTTGGAAAATAAGAAATTTAATAAATTTAATAAAATGGAAATCTTTATTTAATGGTATATAAAAAAAAAATGCCACATCACATAACATTTCATAAGAAAAAAAAAATCTCCCAAATAATCACTCAAGAATTACATCACATTATAAGTATATCAATTTTTATATAATAACCCAAATTAGAACTGATCGCCGCAAGAACCACATTCCGGTGACCGGCCGCCGGATGCCGGAAACTTCATCAATGCCTGAGAAGGTGAAGAAGAGAGAGGAGAAGAGAGAAACCAACGACGGAGCCAGAGATGGGAAGAGAGAAGCCAGATCCGGCCTCACGCGACGGAGCAGGCGCCGGAGCGAAGTCTTCTCCGAGCCCAGAAACCAGGCTGCCGGCGGAGAAGACCACGAGGATCAAGACGGTGACGAGGAATGCGTTGGAGATGAAAACTCTGGCCATTGAAGAGAACGGATTAGAAAATTGAGAGAAATTGAGAGAAAAGACTGAGAGAGATATTGAGAGAAAAGACTGAGAGAGATATTGAGAGAGAGATTGATCGGAGATGCAGGAGTGGCGGAGAGAGGGGCTGAGAAAGGGGGTTATATAGGAGAAGGGAGCGGCGCGTGGACCCCACAGAAAAGGGGCGACAGCGAGTCAAAAAGGTGAAACGGCTACGTTACAGCTAAATGTGGTTTTTCAACATTATTAAAAAAAAGAATAATAATAACGGTAAGATTTTTATTTTTCCTGTTTATTATTTTTATAAAAAAAAAAAAATTATGTCATTCTAACAAAGATTAAAATATACTTTTTATTTTTTTTAATATAAACTATTAATTATTGTTAATTTATTCATATTATTATAAATTAGATATTAGAGTGGAATCAGTTTTTTTTAATTACTATTTGTTAATCAAATTATTTTTCCTATAATAATAATAAATAAATATAAAATTAATCTATAAACAGAATTTTTTTAAAAGAAATCTTTAAATTTTTTTTAATTAACAAATTAATAATTGCACTATAAATGTGATGAAAACAAAACACCAAAATAAAATAAAATAGTTTAATTACCCAAAAACTTAATTCAAATATCAAAAATATTTGTAATTACAAAAAATTCGTAAGATATTAAATTTATTGGAACTTGAAAACATACCCAGTTAGAATTTGTACTATAATTTATAAAGTTTCTCTCTGAAAATTAGAAATGGAATTTGGAAACTCTCGTTTTGAAAATATATTTAAGTCGAGTTGGATGTGTGAAAAAATTGGGTAAGCGTTCTGACTTTATTTATCTAACTGAGAGAAATCTCTCCATGCTCTTTCTCATTTTCCGTCTTGACAGATTTCTTTCGAGATAGGTCCTTAGATTAAGTAAACATTATTTAGTATTTTTAAAATAGAGGCAAAATAGAGATATTTTTTAATATTTAAAAACTGGTAAAGAATTAATTTTTTTTAATAATTTAATTTGTTTAAAAAAAATAAAGAAAAGAGGTAGAACGTGGAAAGGCGGTGGTAGGGAAACAGGGTGCGGACGGCGCGTAGGAGATTTTGTCACGTTGAGACGGCGTTCACGTTTTCGGTTGGTTCAACCAATCCAGATTTGTCTGTCGGTACGCCGGAATTATGGAAACGGAGAACGTGCCCAAAATCTTTTCTCATATTTTTAAAATATATTTTCACTTTATTATTATTATTTTTTTTCTTATTTTCGTTCTTAATGTTTATAATTTTGTCTATTTTACCCTCCTTAATTTCGTCCTTATTTTCGTGCCCAAAAGTCCTTCATCGGAGTCTGCGAAGAGTGGAAGGGCAGGAGTGACATTCTATGGTGTGAGTTACATCTCTCTATTTGTGTGAGTGTGTGCTTCGTACCTTCAAGAAGGCTTGACTCCTTTTTGGAGTCCTTTGTTCGACATTCGAGGATTTGTCTTAGCACGGCTAAGTTTAGGGCTCCTTTTTGGAGTCCATTGTTCGACATTCGAGGATTTGTCAATCTATTGGCACGGCTAAGTTTAGGGCATGGCTCTGATACCAATCTATTGGCATGGCTAAGTTTAGGGCATAACTCTGATACCATGTTAGACGAACAATGGTATGATATTATCCACTTTGAGCATAAGCTCTCATGGCTTTGCTTTGGGTTTCCCAAAAGACCTCATACCAATGGAGTTAGTATTCCTCAGTTATAAACCCATGATCATTCCCTAAATTAGTCGATGTGGACTTTCATCATCCAACAGACTCAACACCACCACTCGGAATGCAAACCACCTGAGAAACAAGCTATTACATCAAGCGGCTGGCACGTCCTCATAGAAAACCCGTCCAAATCCGTGAAACGTCTCTAATTGAGAATATACATGTTACCACAAAACTAATTCTCTCAAATCAAATATTTAACTACATATATTTTTTAAAAAAAAAAATCATTTATCATTAGATTATTTTCATAGAAAAATTAAAAGGCAAAATACAAAATACAAAAATCCAAAAAAAAAAAATTAACAAACATTATTGGTTATTTTTCCACAAAATAAAAAAATAAAAAAATAATTCAGCCACAAATTTCTTTCTAAATAAATTGAAATTAGTTAAGCTCCTAAAACCATGCTCAACCACTCATTTAATAATAGGCTATTATTAACTATTTTATTTCCAAAAATAGACCAAATTTCAACCTATAAATCTCTCCCTTCACCCCTCATCTTCCTCAGACCTGCATTCCATCTCTACTTTCCAACACAAAAACAACAAAAAAATCCCCCAAAAACAATCAAATAAGGGAAGATTTTCCCCATCCTCAAGCAGGTCTTTCTCTAAACTCTCCTTTACCCCTCTCCCCTTCCGCCATGGAAATGAAGACGTTCGCCGTTGCCACCTTCGTCGCCGTTGCTGCCTCCCTGAACATCGTTTTGGCTACTGATGGAGCAGCAACATCCCCAGCCCCCGGCCCGTCCAGCGCCGCTTCTGCTACCTTCCCTGTCATCGGGACATTGCTAGGTGCATCTGCTGCCTCTCTCATTGCATACTGCCTTCAGTAAACTGAGATTATCAGTATGAGGAAGGGGCATATAAATAAACCAATGTGGGGTGATGATTCTTTATTATGTTCTTTAGCTTTTGTTTTGTTTTTTGATTCATTGTTGTAATAAATTTGATCCCTTTCCAGTTTGAATGAAATGAAAATGATATGTTCAAAGATCAAACAATGTTGATATACTCATATCCTCAAATACTTAATCAAACAAAACCACCCAGAATGAACGAACAGATTTATTGTGTAAATTATGAACAGATTTTAGGAAATGTTAAGGATACTATGATCCCCCGTTAGATTTCTGCGACGATACCAGACTTTTTGTCAACCAGATCGCTGTTTCTCTTGACGATACAGCGTCTTCTCCAAAGGGACTCAGCACACCAGCAAGTTCTTCGAGTTTGTCTTGTTTGAGTAACCGTGCACATAGCTCGAGTAGCGACTCGAGTGCATCGGCTCTTCGTTGGCTTGGATAATCTGATTCGGTACTATCGAGCAGATGAATGTCTTTGTTTACGATGATCTGTGGCGAACAACTAATATCGTCTGTTCCCTTCTCCAATGGCACACCATTGGTTTGTGCACTTTCTTTCTCAGATGATATGTGTTCTGTTTTGGGAGTTTCTTTCTCGGATGTCAAACAGTCAATACGAGCACTACGAGCAACTTCTGTATGTCCTTCAACGCTTTCCTGGTTTATGAAGCTTCTTGGTTCGACATCCAGTGGATCGACTGAGTTCAGTAAGCATTGATCATCAGATGATCCAGATTTTTCAGCACTAGAGGACATCGATAATTCCATGAAGTTCCCTTCACTAGATCCATTCTTCATTCCATTTCCACTCGAAGCCTGTCCGCTGCAACTTGTTTTCGGGTCATCCAGGTTCACAGTCTTGACGTCAAGCTCGGATAATGGTTGAAAGTTTTCCGAATGAGATTCTGTCTCCAGAGAATTCACACTATTTTCTGAGGTATTGATGGAAGATTCTTCCCCTCCATGCCGTTTATCGCCATTGCAAATGGATATCGCCGATGCAGACGTCATTAGCCCATCAGCCTGACTATCAACACGATCAGATGTCGATATTTCATCAGGAAAGGACGTAGGATCCACCATCTTCGTCTCGAGTATGTCTTCTGAAATAGCTGTCAATAACATATTTTCATCCGTGGTTGATGAGTTGCTAGTTTGTACGTCACAACTTACTCCCACCATATCGATATTTTCCAGCAGGTTGAAAGCTACACTCAGTTTTGCTCGGGTTTCGTGTTCACTATGCAATTTGCTAGAAGGCGATTTTCTCGGTGTTCTATCCTTGGGGTTTATAGGTAAGGGATATATCGGTAGTATATTAGCCGAAGCGTTGCGGCACTGAAGGACATATGGTTGCAAATGTGGATGCCTCAGCAGTTCAGCAGCCTAATAGTAAATCCAAGCCACAACTTAGAAGGGATCTTAATATCCAAACTCGGTATTGAAAGAGTACCGATTGCATCACTCACCGTTGGTCTGTGTTCGGGATTCTTCCTTAGCATGCTCTTGATGATTTGTTTCCTGCAAGTGGAAACCGAACAGTCTCAAGTCTAAGAACAGCTGATTTTAGCTGAAAAATCGACCGAAATGGCGATACGCATAGGAAGAAAGGCTTACAATGTAGAGGAGTAGACAATTGGGAGAGGAGAAATGGAGGATCTGTTAATTTTATTGATAAGGCCAGCCATGTCCTGTTGAATTATGCATAAATCAATCCGACATCGAGAAAAAACAATGAAATTCAAGAGGTGAAGCTTGAACTTACCGGAGCCCGAAATGCTGGTTGATGAGCAGAAATTTCGAACATACTGCAACCTGGAAAAAGCAAGATTTATTTAGTGATGTCCATGAACATCGACCACGAAAATAGGATAGGATCGTGCCTCCACACAAACTCTTACCAAGTGACCATATATCAGACTTGTAGCCATACGGTATATCAGCGAGGAGCTCAGGACACATATAATTAGGAGTGCCAACAACCTACAGAACATATATTAGCGTCCACACTTGACTAGTAACTATTAAATTATAACTTCAACTCTATGATCTTGTGATAGACTATTGGGATAGGGATCATTAGTTACTAGTTAGTTGGATTGTTAGTGTGAGATCCCACATCGAGTGCTAGCGAAGGGGGGTGAATTGTGAGATCCCACATTGACTGGAGAAGGGAACGAAGCATTCTTTATGAGCATGTGGAAACCTCTCCCTAACAGACGTGTTTTAAAAACCTTGAGGGGAAGTCCCAAAAGAAAAGCCCGAGGACGCTGCTGGGACCCAATAGGGTGGATTGTGAGATCCCATATCGAGAGAGGAACGAGTGCCAGCAAGAACACTGTACCCCAAAGAGGAGTGAATTGTGAGATACCACATTGACTGGAGAGGGGAACAATAGCCACCACCTGGTTTTCTCAAAGAGCAATAATCTAGAGGTAGAAAAGGGCAAGACCATGAATAGAATATAAAACACATTGTATGGAACAAAGAGGCTACTGGAAGCGACTGGAATGAATTCGGCGTTACGTAAATAGCCATATCAAAACGATAAGATCATAGGTTGGATTAGGCCCAGTTTCTACAGCGAAAAAGTTAGGTCGGTTCGTTTAAAAGCTTTCTACTGCAAAATTATGACATGACAATGATTACATCCTTACTGATGAAGCAAGGTCTTCTGTATTCAGTAGTTTTGCAAGCCCAAAGTCCCCTGTGGAATTCAAGATATTAGCAGTAACTAGTAAAGAAAATCTCATTCTAATAGACCTGTAAGCCATCTTACCGAGCCGGATATCATTGTTCTTCGTAAGAAAAATATTCGAACACTGGAATAGAAGAAAATTTAAAAAAACAAAAAAATCAGAACCATTAATGAGATTTATAATCACAAGATTGTGTAGGTTAATACTCAATAGATACCTTAAGATCTCGATGTAGCACTCGATTTGAGTGCAGATAATCTATAGCAAGCAACAACTGTGCCAACCATTTGCAAAGTTTCTGAGACAAACAAAAAAAATTGACAATCAGACATAGATTCGGAAGGAAAAAATAATCAGCACCGTTACAACTTACGTCCTCGGGAAAGTATGTTCCTCTAGCCTTTTTTATCAAATCGGACCTGCTCAACAAAAGAAAACAGGACATCGGATTAGGCTCGAGTTTTCTTCTCTTTCTCACTACATCAGGAAAAATCGATTATCGATTCCATCCATGTCAACCTTCCACAAAATGTTTGCTCTTTAATTGATTCAAGATAACTTTTGTTCTTCACTTAGTTATGTTTCTATGGAGGGGAAATTGATAGTCATTGTTATAAAGGTTACATATTTTCCGCATTGAAGGTCATAAATGAAGCAAACTCCGAAAGGTCGTAAAATTTAAATAAACGACACTTACATGTCTCCGCCTTCGCAGTAGCCCGTTACAATGCATATACAATCACCCTACAAAATAGAATGCCCAAAACATGAAACTTAGAGCAAGTGGAAAACAAGAAGGCAAAGAAGTCACCAGAGGTATAATCCTATGTTTAAGGCTAAATATAAACACCCTCCCAAATTCAAAATCCACTTTCCTCAACTAATCACTCGCAAACTAACCATTCATTTCCTTCTAAAGAAAGACGGTATTCATGAACATCATTCTAATAGCCCAACCCTACCGCTAGTAGATATTGTCCGCTTTGGCCCGTAATGTATCACCATCAGCCTCACGATTATAAAACACATCTACTAGGGAGAGACTTCCACACACTTATAAGGAATGTTTCGTTTACCTCTCCAACCGATGTGGGATCTCACAATCCACCCCCTTACGCCCCAGCGCCCTCGCTGACACATCTCCCGATGTGTCTCGCTTTGATACCATTTGTAACAGTCCAAGTCCCCGCTAGCAAATATTGTCCACTTTGGCCCGTTATGTATCGTCATCAACTTGATGGTTTTAAAACGCATCTACTAAAGAATGCTTTGTTTCCCTCCCCAACTGACGTAGGATCTCACAATTCACCCCTCTTGGGGCCCAACATCCTTGTTGGCACATCACCCCGTGTCTGGCTTTGATATCATTTGTAACAACCCAAGCCCCCAGATATTGTCCATTTTGGCCCGTTACGTACCGCCGTCAACGTCTACTAGGGAGAGGTTTCCACACCCTTGCAAGGAATGTTCCGTTTTCCTCTCCAACCGATGTGGGATCTCACAAGAACTGAGGAAACCAAAACCCACCCACCCCTGTCTCCAAATTCTAATAGCAAGTTTGTTACCAAATCGTGATCAAACAACAAAAACATAGGGGATGGAAAATTAACTAAAAGTATAAAAGCTTCCAACCTCACCCATTATTCATTTTCTATGAACAAAGATCCTCTCCCAAACAAAGATAAAAACAAATAAAAAGGAAGAAGAAGAAGAAGAAGAATGGTAAAAGAAACAACAATTTACCTTATCCACCCATGAATCTTTGTACTCCACAATGTATGGATTATTTAATTTTGCAATCAAGTTCATCTGAAATTGATATAGGAACATTAGTAACTGTAGCTAAACAAGAATATTTACGCGCATCGACTATTTTATGTTTAAATCAGGCAAGAAAACATTCAAGCTCATGCCGAGGATATAACAAGACACCATTGTTTTTCTTTTGTTTTGTTTTTTTGAGTGTTCGAACCAGCTAAAAGCTCACTATGACTCAATTTATAATGAACACAAGGAGTCCTACAAGTTCTTCCTCTCATAACACATCGTACGCTCATTTCTCGACTTAAATATCTTTTTTCTTTACTCCAACTTCTACACGATCTGTCGTGCCAACACCAAGCACTGCCCTTGAGTGCGACGCAGGCTGTTAACAGCCCTCTACTTATAAACTATTCACTTGTAAGTTGGTGAATAATGAAGGAAGAACAGTATCACTTTTATCAGCCATTGTAAGCACACTTACGAACAACGATGTTGAGGATTGTTGGGAAAGGAGTCCCACCTCGGCTAATTAAGAGGTTGATCATGGATTTATAAGTAAGGAATACATCTCTATTGGTATGAGGCCCTTTGGGAAAACAAAAAACACAGCCATGAGAGCTTATGCTCAAAGTGGACAATATCATACCATTGTGAAGAGTCGTGGTTTCTAACATGGTATCAGAGTCACGCCCTTAACTTAGCCATGTCAATATATTCCTCAAATGTCCAACAAAGTAGTTGTGAGTCTTGAAGGTGTAGTCAAGAGTGACTGAAGTATCGAACAAAGGGTGTACTATGTTCATGGGCTCCGAAGGAGTCGAGCCTTGATTAAGGGGAGGTTGTTCGAGGGCTCCACAGGCCTCAGGGGGCTCTATGATGTACTTTCTTCGAGGGGAGGATTGTTGGGAAAGGATTCCCACATCGGCTTATTAAGGGATTTATCATGAGTTTATAAGTAAGGAATACATCTTCATTGGTATGAGGCCTTTCGGGAAAACCAAAAGCAGAGCCACGAGAGCTTATGCTCAAAATAGACAATATCATACCATTGTGGAGAGTTAAACTAACCTCTTGGTGGGCGGTGCGCTTGAACTTCTCCGTTTGCTTCGCCAAGCGAATTTTCTTGAGCACATACCTAATTTAGAGAGAGTAATTCCCATTAATGAGAGAGAACAACACAAACTAGCCCTGATCTCACAATTTCATAGGCAACTAAGCATCAATGGAAGTATGAACATCAAAGATTTCATTTGCAGAACTCAGAAACAGTTGCTTAAAGAACCAAAATTAGTAAACAATTCTTACTTCTTCTTCTCAATCTTGTGGTAAACAAGAAAGGCCGATCCAAACGCCCCCCTCCCAATCTGCTCAATTACTTCATAATCTCCATTATCACTATCCATTTCAACCTTCAAACGCCAAGAACAACACTGTAAGCCCAGAAATCAACTGAAATTGAAACCATTTTGCAAAACTCTCACATGGTAACAAAAATCTCCCCAAAAACTATAAACCCTTTTATAATTATGAACAGAAGTTCCAGAATCTACAGAAACAAAAGCTTCTTAATAAAGAGAAAAAAAGAGTTAGGAACATGAAAAAGAAAGGCAAACCCAAGAGCTTTGCTTCCATTTACAGATTCATAAGAGCATCAAATTCAGAGAATAAAACGTTTTACAACGAAGAAGTTGAGATATCAACAACCCCACTTGAAAGAACAACAAAAACAACCCCAAAAACCTCACCCTTTTGGAAGATTTTGGACGATTTTGGAAGAAATTGGCGATGGCGCAAAATTCCCACTTCAAGAACGCTTCGTTAAACTATTATGAACCCTTTGTTTTAGCCCTCCTCAGCAGCAGCAGCAAGGTTTTGGGAAGAAGAAGCCGTTTTTCTCTCTCCTCTTTGTTTTAAACGTTAATCCATTCTCAAACAATAAATAAATTTGGTTTTGGTCTCTTTCTCAGTTTTTATCTATCAAAATTGTTAATTGGTATACTTAAATATTTGTTTATTTAAGAGTTCGTTTTTTATTGAATCATTCTTTTTAAAAAAAAAAAAAAAAAAAAAAAAAAAAAAAAAAAAAAAAACTGTTCTTTAGAATTGAAAGTTCTTTCATTTTCAAGTGTTTTTTGGTTTTCAAAACTAAAAATCAAATATTAAAATATTCATATTTCTTGATATATATATATATATATATATATATAATTGGTTGACGATCTCAACAATTAGAAAGTTTTAATAAAAATACAGTTAAATGCGTGTTCGTAAATTAATTTGAAAATTAGATACCAATATAAATAATATTTTGAAATGTATTTTTATATATTATATTCATTATTTATTAAAGTTTGTATTTTTTATAATTTAAGAACCCTATCACACTTGTAATGTGATGAAATAGAATGAACTGAAAATTTTACATTTTAAAATTTAAAATTCAAAATTCAAAATCTAATAAAATTAATGAAAAATGTCCTTTTTTAGGAAAAGCAATTTGAGAATGGTTTCCAATAAACTCATTTTTCAAATATATGTTTACCCAAATATTCGAGAAAGAACAAAATTAAAAATGTCTATTGAGAATGTACACGGGTTGAGTTGAGTTAGGAAAACTTTTGAACCAACCTAGACCCGAACATCTCTAATAAAATTTTCAATCATCTATTCTTTTAATTATTTAAAAAAAAAATTACTTATGCACCATACACACGTTATTTAATAATTAAAACCTCATAAAACTCAAATATCAAACATTCACGAGTCACACCACATCACTAACATTAGTTACATATATCAATTTTTCTTCATTTTTATAATAATCTTAGAAGTAGAGCAGGGTTGTAATCCTATGACTTCATAAAAAAAAACCATCAACACGTGAACAACTGGATTTTTTAATTTTTCAAAAATTCAACCTTTCTAATATCATTATAAAGTGAAATTAATTTGTTTAAATAATTAAAAGTGTTACAATTTTTGCCTTATTGGTGCTTTAAAAATAATAAATAAATAAATAAAGAGATTCCTAAAAAGAATTAAATGAAGGACTCGCCTTTCATACGTGCGAGCAATTAGTATAAAATTGTCGGCAAAATTTTAAATATAGAGAAATGGTGGGGCCTATATGCAAAAAAAAAATATATATTTGAAAATTTTCTTTATTTTGGTCGTGTTTTTTTTTTTTTTTTTTTGGTCTAAATAAAGGAAAAATAAGAAAGTTTCCCCCTTTTTTAAATATTTAAATTGTCGGCATAATTTTGGTTCTTATTTCCTTATAAATACAAACAAATTCTTTAGTTTTTGCGTCAATCTTAGGGTGGATGTTGTGGGTTGAGCGTTTGGTTGTTCGTAGGTTACTACGTCACTTATCAGAATTGTGACTGTTGTTAACGGACACTGATACCTCTATCAGAATATTGTAACTCGTGATCAATTGCTGTCGTCGGAATACATAGCCAATGCCAAAATGTGTACTTTCATTTTAGATAGTTTACGTTCAAATATTTAGAAAATTTATGATACTATTTTGAATTTGGCCTCTTTTAGATTTGCTAGAGGTTTCCACATCTTTATAAGAAATATTTATTATCTTCTCGAACCCATATAGAATATCACAATTCACCCTTTTGGGGCTCCTGACACATCATTCAATGTCTTACTTTGATATACAAATGATAGATATTGTCTGCTTTGGCCAGTTACATAATTGTCATCAGCTTCACGATTTAATTTGAAGCGAGAGCTTTTTTTTTATATTTTAATATTTTATTCATTTTCCAATTTTTCATTCATTGTGATTTTAAGGAATTTTTTAGAAAATATTTGATAGTATAAATAATTCAAAAAAGAAAAAGAAAAAAAAAGTTCTAAGGGCCCATTGAAGATATGGGCCGAGATTTGGGTGACTGAAAAGACTATTATGGCCCACAATTGGGCCCACTTTGGTAAATGGAAGTTAGAGTGCGGCACGTCCAAACAAAAATTAGGCGCAGAAAGGGAATGCATAAATCTGAATAATTGTACAAAAAAAAAAAAAAAGCTTTTTTAGATAAAATTAATTTTTTTAATCTTAATTAATAAAAAAATTAATTAATAATTATATTAATTTACAAAATATTGTTTTAAAGAAAAACTTAGATATAATCCAAAAATTATTTTAAAGTTTAAATATATAATAAAAACCCATATTTATAATTAATAAAACCATTTTTTAATATAAACGGTTTCGATCCGAATACAATGAAGTAAGTTTTGTGTAGATATTTTCTTAGCAGCTCTTGAAACCTTTTCCGAGTTTTACATAAAGATTCATCCTCAAATCGTTTAAAAGCTACTATTTCAACTGCTTAGGATTCTTAGCGGGAGGAACATAAAAAAATAGAATAATATATATTTATAAATTGATAAATAGTTCCGAGTAGAGACTAGCTCTCTATATTCTCAACTTTGGGCCTTAATTAAAGCCCACAATAGGATTTTTTATAACTAATTTGAGCATAAACTCTCGTGATTTTGTTTTAAGCTTTCCCAAAAGGTCTCGTACCAATGGAAAGAGTATTTCTTGATTATAAACTCATGATCATTCCCTAAATTAGCAGATGTAGGATCTTCAAGGCCGAAATGAACTTGCAAATATCCAACAACTTTCAAACGAGTAGTTCAACTAAAATCAAACCTAACGAAGTTTTAAATTAGTTGAACAATGTTTAAGAATCAATGATTTCAAAGAAGTTGTTCAAATATGGTCTAATGTTATGGACCTAACCGTCTCAGAAGTTCGTAAATATATAATAAACTTAACTAATGTGGTTAACTACGGGCCACTCTAACGGGATGAAAATATTTAGAATAAAATAAATTCCTAAATTTTTATTTTTAAATAAATATTAAATACAAAATTTAAAATTTAAAATTAAAATAATTGAGAGTGAGCAATAAATGGATTAAATTAACGTGGGGAGATAGTGAAGGAATCTCGACGCAGACAGCTTTTTACCAAGATCTTCGCCGGGTAACTGCAGGTTTTTACTTTAACCTCAATGGTAGCAGTAAAATTACAATCACTGCAGTAGTTAAGAAGGTCAACGTTCCCAAAAGCTGAACTGCCGGCCGTTTCTTTTCCTTTTTTTACTGTTTCTTCACTTTTATTTACTGTGCTTAACCTTTTTTCACATTCCCTGACAGTCTCATACCTCTTTATTTTTCTTATTTATTTTTTCATTTTATATAAAAAATATATATATATATATATATTTTTTTATAAGTCTATGATCTAAGTTCGGAATAATCTAAAAAATTTGATAAATAAATAACTGTTTTAATTTAATTTATTTCTATTTAATTTCATAATTCTTTTATTTTATTATTGTCCAATAATTCTTTCCATACATATATGTTTAGTCTTAGTTGAAAATTAATTAAATATTTAAAAATAATAAATAGATATTTTTAAAACTAATATTTTATTTTTATAAAAAAACAAATTTTTTAAATAATTGACTGAAAACCAACTTAATTAAAAAATATTATAATTGATTGAATTGAGTCATTATTTAAAAACAACTATTTTTCAATCTAATAATTTTATTGGATCTAAAAAAAATGTTCGAATTCGATTAAACCCACGAACAACCTTAAAAGCATCTCGAGAAGTTTTGGTGTAATATTTTTTTTTTTTATAAATGAAATAGGTATATATATATATATCTATATATATATATATATATATATATATATATATATATATATATATATATATATAT